AACGTATACAACCTATGCCTAACGTATCCCTAGCGTATGTCAGCGTATACCGGCGTATGAGTGATATTTTTCATACGCTAGTACGAGATATTTTTCATACGCTAGTACTTTCTATAAAACGTGCATTTTATAGAAAGGGAACTGCTCGTTAGCATTTTATAATCACATAAGACTTACGTTGTTTATTTCATTGTATTTATAGTCCAGGCCGACCAGGAGATTACCATAGGGTATTTGGATTTCGTCAAGAAGAGGTAAATATTCTGGAAACATTGCTGTGTTAATATGTGTTCTTGTTATTTTCCCAAACACCGAAATTATCCAATGTTTTTACAACATTTTTTTATTTTCGATTTCGGAAATTGTGCGTTAACTTCTCAACGAAGTTCGCAAGTTCATTTCAGTGTTTGAATTTCTAGTGTAACGAATGTTCATAGTTCAAGTTGATATGAACAATTCAATGGAAAGCCCTTGGTCCAGTTCTCTCACAAGAAGGTTTATATTTCGTGAAGTTGGTTATTATTATTGAGCTATATGAACATTTGTTTACGAACGAAGTTGAAACATTGAAATGGACGTTGCGAAGGTCACGCCCAATTTTCGAACTCGCATTGAAAAGAGACTTGAAATCGACAATAATTCCTGTTTTCTCCAGTGTAATGCTGCTGGATGTTTGATCGAACTGACAATTCAACTTGCTATTATCATGGTGGGAAAACAGATTTTCAACGCCGCTATGGAGTTACTGTATCCGTACGTATATATCATCTATTTTCACGAGGTTGTTTGAAAGATATCTGGAAAGTATAGACAGAACTTCGAATGCCTTTCGTTTTAATGTTAGTAGGTCTTGTCTCTCTATTAGTCTCAGTTTATGCAAAAATTTGGTCCTTCGTTGTCACGTGTGCGGTCTGCTTGAAGAGTCACGTAAGTACACACGCAAAAAATCTCACATCTTCTAGCAAGTCTGCCAACAAGCCGTCAATAAGTTGTGTTCGCACTGCTTGTCCCAAGTTGTCAACAAGTATGCAGGAACAACTTGTTAACAGTTGTTACAACCTTGTTGATATATCCGACTTGTTGCAAGGTTGTTCCAACAAGTCCGATAGAGTAATGATATAATAATATTGCTACAACCTTGTGTCGTCAACCTTGTAACGTTCTTGTTATATCATGACTGTATTAGACTTATTAGAACAACTTTGTAACAAGTCTGATAATGCCATCAAACTTGGTACAAGTTGTTAACACCTCGTTCCAAACTTGGTACAACAAATGAGGGCAAGCAGTGCGAACAAAACTTATCTACAGCTTGTTTGCAGACCTGTAACAACTTGTGGTTTTTACGTGTGTAGTTAGTTTTCTTCTGTGCTTAGAGAATTTTTCTCTGCCCCTCCGGTGTTAAGCCCTTACCAAAAACTAAGCCTTAGTACTCGTCAAACTCGTGTAACTGTACTCCGTGATCGGACATGGGTGGTGCCAGCCGAGGGCGCCCTTTTAAGGCTCGGTCATTTTTGGGCTGCGTCTTCCGCAATTCAATTCTTAACTGCAACAACAAAATGTTGAAAATGCAATATGAATATGACAAAGGATGACCCGGTATTTGCTTAAACCTGACAAAAACATAGTTGTCGCCATGTATTCTGTTGACTGTGGTTCCGTGGCAGTGATTTCTAAATTCATATTTTTTAGGAAACTCATGAATTGGTGGAACCGTCGTGGAAACATTCTGAAGAAATTTCGCGGCGAGCAAGTGGAAGACCACTCTGGTCCAATCTCTAATCTTCAATGGGAAGCAGATTATTATTTAACTCCGATACCACGAAATGCCTTGTTCTATGAATACCTTGAAATGGGTAGGGACTCGTGCACGTCGAGTAATATACTGTCTTACTTTGTTCCCATGGGTGGCGGACGCGATCAGCGCGCTGTCTTTTACCGCAACCTCGTTCCCAGGACTTCTCGACTGACTACATGGCCGTAAGCTCTTGGGCAACCCTAACCGAACACTACAATTCTGATGTTTGCTGGCAGTAAATTGCCATTAAAGCGAGAGTTTGTATGATACAATGCGAACGCTCATGTTGTGAACGTCTTTATGAGAACATTCGTATTCTTCAACAATTTAAATTAACTGAGTGATATTTGGTGAGAAAATTGAACTTAAAGTTTATATAAATCAGCATGATTTCTGTATCAGATACACAAACTCCTTCACACTCATGATTTCGTTTGTGTTTTCTTCACGAATAATAAGTGAGTTTCACAATGGCTTTTATAATAGTCGAGTAACTCATTTACATAAGATGCGTTGACAGCCATTTTGTTTCTTTGTTGTTTTACCCAAGAATACCTGAAGACAATACCACATACACACGCACAAATCTAGCATCTTGTTTGCCAACAAGCCGCACCAAAGTTGTCAACAATGTTGTTAACAACCTTGTTGGTATTATCAGACTTGTTGCAAGGTTGTTCCAACAAGTCCAATACAGTCTTGATATAACAATATTGTTTCAACCTTGTGTCGTCAACCTTGTAACATTCTTGTTATATCATGACTGTATCAGACTTGTCAGAACAATAACCTTGTGACAAGTCTGATAATGTCATCAAGCTTGTTACAAGTTGTTAACAGCTTGTTCCAAACTTGTTACAACAACTGGGAACAAGCAGTGCGAACACAACTTGTCGACAGCTTGTGAACAGATTTGTAACAACTTGTTTGCAGACCTGTAACAATTCTACGTGTGTTTTGTCGTTTTTAAGTTTATATTCTCTGTTTGTAGTAATTCAGTTCGGTTTCATCACGATATTCGTGGCGGCGTTTCCTCTTGGGCCATTGTTTGCTCTGCTGAATAACTTGGTTGAAATACGTCTCGATGCTTACAAGTTTATTACGACCTATAGACGACCTCGAGCGGCAAGAGCCGAAGATATTGGTAAGCTGTAGAGCTCTATATACTCACGTGAAAACGCACAAGTTGCAACAAACCTGCAGCAGACTTATAGCAATGCTGTTACAACAACTTGTCAACAGGATGTGTTCGCACTGCTTGTTCCCAGCTTGTTGACAAGTTGCCAACGGCTTGTTGACAACCTGCTACAAGGTTGTTGAGCTCAACAGACTTGTTACAAGTTGTTTCAACAACTTGTTATCGTTGCCCGGATTTTCATCACTATATTGCATTTATTTCTGTTCAGGTATCTGGTATTCAATTTTGAAAGGCGTGGCTGTATTTTCTGTTCTTGTGAACGTAAGTTTCAAAATGAGTCTTGCCAAATAGAAATATTATTTACACTACGCTTTATAAAGGTACTATCTAGCCTAATCCCAGGGCTTCCCTGGATCGGTTTTGAACCGCGGGAGCAGGGTGTTAGCCAGAAAAAAAGTCTTGTCGGTTAAACGTAAATTGGGAAAGTTTTTTTGATCGATCAAAGTCCTTGTGTAGGAATAAATAGTGTTTTTTTCCAACGTGTTTCTCCTTAGATGCAAACAACGGTAGCTTGGTTTTGTACATTTCATTTCCGGTGAATGAACACTGAAAAACACGGATGCACACCGATTACACTTTGTTTTGTACATTTCATTTCAGTGAATACACACCCAATATGAATGAAACGCGATACATTTTGAGAAAATAGTTAATGGGAAAAAGTAAATAAAACGTTCTTTGATATAATAGTATAAAATCAAACGCAATGCACTTTCTCATCAGAAAAAAAATGAAAATCTTCCAGTAGACCCAGTTGGGAAAGCCCCTTAGCTACTTCAATTGGGAAGAGTCCGTCAAACGGACAGTATATGGGCTAGCTAACACCCTGGAGAGAAGACCTGGCGAGATGGACCTTGGTCTTACGCCTGTATTCTAAAACCCACATCTAAAGAGTGGAGGTTCAATCTGAACTTCCCTTTAGTGTCAATGCTGTTTTTGAATAGCTGGAGTGTTAGTGTCGTACCTTACTATGAGATTACTCACCCTCCAACTATTCAAAAATAGCATTGAACTGGGGCGCCCCCCCCCCCCCTAGCCCTGGCCATAGGGTTGCATGGGGGGAGGGTGCTATTTTGCTATTTTTCATGATAAAGCAAAAAAAAATATTGAGATAAAATGAGATACAATAATTTGAGTGATACCATGATGACAAGCGAACGGTGAATTTCCACTCGATAATCCATCTACATACCCTTCAGTTCTGAGCTCCATTTTCCTAAATATACCAAGATAAACATCAAGTCGGAGAACAGAACATGAAATTAAACCGAGTTTTTCGTTTTCCTTCGCAATTCTCTTCAGGGTTTTGTCATTGCTTTTGTTTCCGAATTCATTCCTCGGCTGTACTTTAAATGGAGCAAAGGAAAGGACGGCAGTTTAGAAGGATACCTTGATACGAGTTTGTCTTGTTATGACACGCGGAATTATCCTGACAATGAAAAACCCAACATTAATTTGTCAACCAATCAGTATGGCTTCGAAAGTAACGGATGTGGTTTGGGACTCCCGAGCTGTCGGTAAGTATTTTCGGAAAATGTCGTAATCGACGTTTGAGGAATGGAATGTTTTTGTGTAATTCATATAAAACCAACACCGCGGAAAAACGTCTGCGCATGCGTCAACCTTACCTGTAATGGTATTGCGAACTTGATGAGAAGCTGTTCCGAACGTTTCCGAAGGCTCAAAATGGCGGTAAAAAGGAGTGACTTCATTGTGCGTCTTTACGGCCAGATTTCGAGCGCAAAAATAAACATGTCATTCTAAAAACTAGGAATAAATACAGCCAGAAGGTGCAAGAAATTGTATTGTACAAGAACATGAACTAAAGGTGATTGTTGACAAATTTATCGTCTGAAACATTTTGTTTATCAACTAAGCAACGACAATTTCCAAATTTTCGTTTGAGATACATTTCTTTAAAAAAACTGTGTCGCCAAATATAAAAAATTTTCGTGTTCACAATAATTAAACTTTAGGATGTATTCTACAATTTGAGTGTGTTAAGAAGCTTAACTTTTCGAGAGTTTTCTTAACTTTTGAGTTTGAATTTTTGTTTTGAATAATTTTGCAAAAATTTTGCAAAAATTTTCGAAGTCGTGTCCGTTAAAATCAACAATTTTTTATATGAATTAATTTCATTCCATACTTTAAATGCCAGGACGCTTTCAATTAATGTCTAGTCTACCCATTTGCTATATTTTCTCGTTTGTTTTACTAATTTTTAACAAATTAATAAGCATGTTTTTGTTTTAGAAATTGATGTTCAAATTCCCCGCCATATTTTCATAATTCGGTGCATGCGCAGACATTTTTCCGCGGTGTTTATAAAACCTGCAATAGTCACACTGGCTGGCAACCACTGAGCAATCTTCTGGATTCATTGAGCCAGATTAATTATAACGAGACGAGTTTTAAATCGGTCAAATTCTTTAAAAACCTTATAGGGATTTAAATTATTTTTCCTATCAAGCAAACGTATTTTCCTATGTAACTTAAGATCTGTTCAAAAGACCGGATAAAACAGGCTCATTATCACACCAATACAATGCACTAATAATAAATTTGACCGCCATGTTTTGCATAGATGGACTAGCGCAGACCATAGAATCGTAGCCTACGGTGTAGACCCCACGAAACGTGTTTCTGCTGGGGTCTACACCGTAGGCTAACAGAATAGAGACTTACAGAAGTCCGACTCCGTGGCGGCATCTTTGATGTTAGCTTAACTGAGAAGTCGTTGCCTCCTGGAAACATTCAAAATGGCTGGCTTGACTTAGACATTCAGGGGGGCGAGTGCCTCTCACAAGCGCACTGCCTAGGAACATGTTACATGGCAAGTGCATTGCGACAACACGGTTTTATGCCAAGTCGCGCATCTGTAAGGTATACACTCTGTGACAAGACAGCCCCGTACAAAAAGTGACAAAATTGTCATTGTCAAACTATTTCACTTGCTATCTTTCAGATATCGTGGCTACAGAGATAAACCAATGTCGATTCTAGAGAACCCGTACGGCAATTTAACCAATAACTACGATTTCACGAAGGATTATTGGCATATATTGTCTGCTCAGTTGTTCTTTGTCATTGCATTTTTGGTAAGTGATTTTCACATTGTTTGTAATATTGCGTTCACACTATGTCTAGTAAATCTAGTTCCAATTCAGGCTGCGATAGAATCGCGTACTTACGTACCGAATTATTATTTTATTGCCCCCGCAGAGTTTTGGCCTGGAAACTTGACTTGGAAAACGATACATGGAGGGATAGCTAGGAATATGTTATAGTTATTATAGTATTTAGATTGTGTAATTTATATTGTGACAAAGTTTATAAAATTAGACAAAATTATATATGTTCGTATCAGGTTTTCTGAGTCTAAGGCCGCAAAGGTCTATTGGTAATCATCACAATGAATGGTACAATGGTATAAATGAAAAGGAAATGCGGAATTTTCACAGAATTTCAAAGGAATGTAGCAGTATGCAATATGCAAACACTGATAACGGGCGAACAGCGAACATATAAGATGCAGCCACCTTTCTGGTGTTTGTCAGTTCACTCAGTTGGTTTAAAAACTACGAAGGTCAGATTGCAGAGGTTCATCATCAAACCGGGCAGATGTAATGTTAACTATTACTATATTTTAAATATATGTATGCATGGTAACCTTTTCAGTTTCCTTGACTTGACTCAAAAGTGTCCACTGTATTTAGATTGTGGTATTTGGCCTGACTTTTATCCTTGCCTACATCATCCCTGATCGACCAAAGAAACTGGACAATCAAATAAAGAGAGAGGCTTTCCTGGCTAAGAATATACTACGCTCAGACCAAGGAACTATGGGTAACTGATGACGTCACACGGTACATGATATATGTTATATTTCTTTTAACCAAGGGAGTTGGTACCGCTGATCTATTGGTACCTCTTCCGCAGTCATCTCACCTGAGGAATGGGGTGGTCGGGAAAACACCCTTTCGCAGGTAGAGATGCATGCGCAGGAGACTAGTTGTATTATACCAATGTATATTTTAAAACTTGATTTGCGCCTTGTTGCATGGACTGTAAATCTTCTGTTAAGCGCTCTTCTTCAGCCCCCTGACTCCCCCCTGACTCAGCCCCCCTTGCCATTTTTTGGTTGGAAAATCTGCCTTCCCTTATAAATGTTCCAATTATCGCCCCCGGGCGCTTAATAGAGGATTTACAGTAAATTAAGCAATGTTCTTACAGCTAAACAATTTGTGGATATAGTAGATGTTTTAATTCTAAAATGTTTTGACATAATAACTATATGATTTTAACTATACTCTGATCATGATACTACGCTTGATTAATAACCTATGCTTATGGCGTGCAAACATTTTGAATACATATTCAAAATGCTTTTACTGTCGTTCCAATTGAAGTGTTCCTCAAATATTGATTCAATACATTACCTCGGGCTGACCAATTCATTTCATCAAGTTCCTCGAGATATTCATACACTTCCTAGTGTAATTGTAAATTTCCTGTTGAATAGTTTGAATGCACCAATCACCTTTGTTGTTTGTGCAACTAACCAATCATAGATAGAAAGGAAGTGACCAGAAATGATCAAATACTTGGAACTGGCTCTTTCACAGGAAGTGTATGAATATCTCGAGGAACTTGATTAAATGAATTGGTCAGCCCGAGGTAATGTATTGAATCAATATTTGAGCAACACTTCAATTGGAACGACAGTAAAATAATTAGATGCCCGAAAAGTAACCAAGCTTTGTGTATTTCAAGATTAAATAAATCCAGGGGCCAGTCATTCAAAGCACGATCAATGCAAAGCCGTGGCTTAAATTTCACCCATTGCCTTGGTTTGATATCTATTTTTATATATATATCTTTGGTATCTGTACGTCTGTTTATTTCTAAACTTTAGAAAATTAAACCTCTGCCGATCCTGACAAGATTTCTGAAAAAATATTTCCAAGTTTATAACGAGTTGCTGGGAAGTTTATAACAAGTTGCTGGGAAGTTCGCTTTGAATCTCAGGTTAACCGAAGGTTAAGTTAACCAACCCACCCGGCCCCCACCTCCCAGGTCAACTGTTGGCTGAGATATTTTGTAAAATGTCACTACCTCCTCCCCATCCGGATTTCATGTTGGATTATGAAATATTTTTTGAATAATTATGTTCAGCAATCTCATTATATGTACAAGGGTCGGTTGTACGAAGGGCGGATAGCGCTATCCACCAGATAGTGATGTTTTCAATCTTTGTAAAATGCTTGAAAAACTGTGAAACTACGGATATAGACGACACAAGAAGTATAAAAAAACATTTAACTTATAAATACTAAACTTTAATACGAGTTATACCAACCAACGACTGATTTAACAAAGCTTGAAAAAAATCACTATCCGGTGGATAGTACTATCCGGCCTTCGTACAACCGACCCCAGAAGGTTTTAAAGAACAAAACAATACACTCTTTTGATAATACGTCATTTGGCCTGGGAGCCTCGCTTTCATGAATCGTGAGCCAATCACCTTGCGTAATTTACTAATGAGAGCGAGACTTCAAGACCAAAAAGTATTGTGACGTAATTATCGAAAGGGTGTATTAGGAAAACGATATGAAGACAGAATATAAGAATGAAAAATATATCTCTTAATGATATTTAATTAAATAAAAATATGTCACAAAACGAAACTAGATATACGCGTATGCGCGAAATATTGTGTAACAAAATTGCCTCCTGTGGTTTAGTTACCAAAAAAGGCAAAGAAGTTCAAAAGAGTACATTGTTAAAATTCCTCAAAGGCGGAATAAAAAGTAACGTCACAGATTAAATCTTCAAACAACTACATACTCTTGTGTGTGTTACTTTGCGCGAAAGTTTAGAAAGAAAAATGTAGATATCTATTGATGTAGACAAGCGATGGCAACAGGTTATGAAGATACCAGATTTGAAACGCAAGTTGACGAAAGCCTTCATTGCATTATATGCACAGAAGTATTAAAAGATCCAGTACAATGTCGCAGGAATGAACATCGTTTCTGTAGGAATTGTATCACTGAACATCTACGACATCCACAGACATGTCCAACATGTAAAGACCCCAGACCTCAACGATTCCTGGCGAACACTCTGTCAAGTTTGAAGATTTCGTGCGAGAATTCCGAGCGTGGTTGTCACAAGGACGTCGAACTTGGCTCACTCGACACACACGTAGCAACTTGTAGTTTCAGTCCAATGCCATGTTCAAACGATCAATGTGAGGAAATAATAAGTCGACGTGATAAAGAAATCCATGAAAATAAAGTTTGTGATTTTCGACGAGTCAAGTGTGATTACTGCGCCCAAATGGTGCTGTATAAGGACTTTATGCAGCATGTATGTCCACCAAGGCAAGAAATTCGTGAAATAAAAGCCGAGGTGAGAGAAGTTCACTCTACGCAAGATGAAATGTTTAAAATGATGCAAAATATGATGTCGAGTCTCATGAGGCTTGAAAGAAATACGGCACAACGTTCAGAAGGCAGTCATGCAAGCAGTGGTCAGGAATTGCAAGCCGAGATTGTCATCGCAGGAGGGTTTGATTGTAAATCTGTGGAAGTGTTCAACATGACAACCAAAACATGGCGGTCACTGTCAGAGATGAATGAATGTAGATTTGGAGCAAGTTCAGTTTTATACCAAGGTCACATGTTTCTGATAGGAGGGGATTCTGGACTACTCGAATACCTGGACAGTGCTGAAGAACTAAATCTTGCTGAGCAAGATGGACATTGGGCTGAATCTCAATTTAAATCACCAGTACCGTCCAATCACGCATGCGTGGTATATCAGAATCGTGTTTTTCTTATTGGAGGAAGTGTTTATCCTGAAACCTATGATGGAATACATGAAATTCAGCTGATCCCTCCCTATACATCAAGGTTGCTTACTAAGATGCCCATGCAATTAATTTACTATGGTGCCGAGACAGTGAATGGCAAGATATGCATCATTGGTGCCAATAAGACAAAACCTTATAAAGCCGCAACCAACACTGTTCTCATGTTTGACCCAGCAACCAATACTTGTACAGAGCTGAAGCCACTTCCATATCCGGCATCAACGATGACAACTGTAACTTGGAAAGACAATGTGGTCGTCCTTGGTGGGGTGGACGATCAACACAACACTCTCAGTACAGTGATACTGTATAATGTTACCACAGGAAGTCATCGCATGCTTCCCGAGATGACAAAGAAGCGATATCGTTGCACAGCAGTGACCGTTGGTGATAATATTATCGCAATGGGCGGGTGTGATGAAAGTGACACTGATCTTAACTCTGTTGAATGCTATAATTTCCACACCAACACGTGGACAGAGTTCCCAGCCATGGCTGAAACAAGATGTGGTGCTACTGCTGTTGTAAAATATTGCTGACATTTGTACCATTGTTATTCATATAGATTGATGCAATACTGGAATACACTGTTGTTATTGTTGTTAATAAAGGTTTTTATAGAAAAAATCAAGGTTTTGGATTTTCTTTACGTTTGTCGGCATGCAAGTTTATCTTTTCTTTATGTAAGTTTATCTGTTGGTGATATGGTTCGTCTTAGCCGAGAAAATTGAATGTGAATAAATTTAACTAGTATTTACTAACATTGAGCGCCCGCAGCGCTCTTTAAATTTGTGGTGTTTCTGGCGTGTATAAAGCAGGCGCTCGCGGGCTTTGCAGGCTATAATGTTTCAGATGCGTCGCTTATTCGAGGGCGGCGCCTTCAATATTTACGAGGCGCTTAATCCAATGCTGCGCTTAAACGAGTAAATACTGTAATCTGTATACATAATTCATAATTGTTTGTGTAAAAAAGCTGGAAACTTTTCACTCCCTATTAAGTGTATTATAAGATTTCTTTACATTCAATTTGTCTTCCATGATAAATAGAAACTGGTGATAGGAACTATTCAAGCTGTCTAGTTTCTGACAAAATAGAAAATATTCTTTCCCCTTGCAGCGAAGTTGAAATTTGGTGATGTAATCTCTATGATCCGTATAAGTGTCCGTAGTGAGCTTTTTGCACAAAAGTTACGCAACTGCCATTGCTATGGCAACAATGACGTTTCAAGATGGCGGATATTTTGGTAAATAAAGTAATTTAACTCGTAAACGACATCGGTGACCCCCAAATTTTATTTTAAAAAATGATTTCTCTTAGTATAATTAATTATTTTTACAATTTAAAAAATCACCTATTCACCTTTACGTAATTTTAAAAGTTTTGGCTCGACAGAATTTTTTTAAATTTTCAAAATAATTGATTAAACCATAGACCTTATTCATAAATCGTGACGAGGCCTCGTATCCTAGGATACGGGAAAAAAACGCGGGAATACAAGCGAAAACTGCTTGACAAGCCAAATTCAGATGCTATATATCGACTTCAACGGCTTGTTTCTTGTTGCCTTTTGCGATTTATAACATTTTGTGTGTATTTTAAGACTTTGTGCCCACAACGAAAGCGGTGAACGAGTATATTATAAAAGCGACCGGTTTTTCTCCCGGTTTTGTGTGGGAAAAATGACAACATAGCGACAGTGTTTATCCAGAAGCGAAAAACTGTATTTTACTGAGATTTTAACGTCAATATAAAGGTTATTCCGTGAAAAATCAAGACAACTATAGAATGAAAGTATAATTTTTCGAATTTGACATTAATATGAAAGAAAACAAGAGGTCAAAAATCACAAGAGAACGTCAAATGTCATTGATTCGTACGGGAAAATATGAACTATGGCTGTGGCTCGATAACATTCTGCAAGCAGCTTACGAGTTTAAAAAATGAAGGCTACATTACCTGAGTGAGTTGTAATCTTATTTCTTCAACAATAGTTTCATATTTCTTACGATTTTGGTGTTGCATAGACGTTTTGTAGCCTTGTTGGTTGTTTGTTTTGGCCATACAAACTTGGCAATAATACAAAGTCAAAGGTTTCCTTTTTCGATTGACTCCAGCATCTTTTGCTTTAAATATCATGTTATATTTTCTCAGAAGTATTTTTTTCAACTTTCAAACTCA